CTCCATTTTTCTATAAACTAAAACTGACCTAAAAAAAAATAAAGTCTACTAAGTTTTTAAAAATTGCTACTATGGGCCACAGAGAGCACCTGTACAGTATTGCTAGAATGCAGGGGAAGAAAAGCCCTGGTCATCTCATAACTTGCACCTGACAGCTTCCTACCGGCTTCCAGCTAGACAGCAGAGGTGTCACCTGGATAAAAACTGAAAAGGTAGCCTTCAAACTAAAAGGAGGCTGACAAATGAGGACTGACAACCATAAATTAACAGGGTAAGTAACACCCAGGTCCAATTTGCTTTCAGCAGCAGTGATAAGGAAATGCGTGGAAAAGCAGGGAATAGAGAACCTGGGAGAATTTAGAAGTGACCACATTCACCGAGGAGAGAGAAGCAGGACAGGCAACAGACCCTGGAGTGACTGCCGACCTCGCCCTCAGCGTCCATCCTTGAACACATGCCCCAGTGACAGTTAGAGTCACCCAGGCTGACCACCCAAACCTCTCGTCCCTCCGCTGTGAGTGAGGCCCACCAACACGAGGGAAGCAGAAGGGGCCATGCCAGGGAATGATTCAGAGACGGGTCCCAGGCACTGAAATGCACAGCTTGGTTTCCCCAACTTCCAGACTCCTTGATGAGACACCATGACCTGCAGGAAAAAGCATGAGCCTAGGAGTCAGGAGACGAGGGTCAGTTTCACCACCTCAAAGCAGATGCCATCAGCCAAAAGGACAAGCTGCCCCTTTTCCTCTCGTCTGCAAAACAGGGATATTACTCGCTCTAGAGCTACAGAAGGTTGGAGCTGGGATAGACTCATCACACAGGTGAGGCAAACTAAGTCCAGGGAGATGCAGTGACTCGTACAAGGGGGCAGAGCTGGATGGCAAAGTCACACCTGAGCGAAAGTGTTCTGGAAAATTAAATTAATGAAATAAACAGAAGCTGCCATCAGTGCTATCATCTTTTCATCGGCACACCTTGCTCCTGCTCTGCTGTAAGGTGACCATCCCCCATGACAGTAGGCTCTTGGCAAGTGTCAGCTGCATCACTGGCACTAGCTGGTTGTGCTGCTTTCTGAAGTTACAGAGCCAGGAAGAGATGTTCTTGGCCACTTCCGGGGTCTAAGGCATCAGAATCGAGACCCGGGAGATAACATGATAGGCCCCATTCTCCCCTTTGCACTTCCACACTCCAATAGCAATAAGCAATGAGGTTTCCTTGGGAGAGTGAATCTGTTTTGTCCACAATAATTCCATCTTTAGTCCATGAAGCACACTAAGCCAACAATCCACTAAGAGCATGAAAGAGACTCATTTGGCTTTTGCTCCGACATACCCATTCCAAGCTTTGATTCACTCAGTTTCCAGACCTTTTGTCCTCTAACCAGTTTAACGAATGTACAAACATATTCCCATACAGCCTCCAAAACAGAATATTACCAACAGACTGGAAAATGACGCAAATGTAGTCCATCTACATAAGTGAAACAAGGTTAGCCAAAGGGAAAGTTTGTGTGGCTTAAATCATGGAGATGGGTTGTGTCCACAGGGCTGAATTCACAATTGCAAGATTCAGCAATTTCCCCTAGTTCTTTCTTGACCCAGGCCTTCGGTGGGTCCAATCTTTTCACTTCGAGAGCTCCCCACTCCCACCCCACACACACAGATGGCAAAGCCACCACTGTTCATGTCCATCTTCTTTGGTCTCCATTGGCATAATTAGGAGAACACCAGAGACAATGCAGCTCTGTGTATTTTTTTTTTATGAGAAATGAGTCAATAATTTCTTATTTCTCTCCACACTGTCCCAGAAAAATAACCTAGAGCAGAGGAAGTGGCAATCTTAGCTTAGTGACTCCACAACAGATCACGGGCAAGAGAGCATGTGGTGAATGGGAACCTCCTAAGCTGTTAATCAGAATTCTCCAACCAAAGGTATTTCCCCTCAGCCTAATCCAGAGTTGACAGGTGGGACACCCTTCATACTCCCCCTCCCCCTGCAACCTTTACTAACCACCACCGGCCAAACCACTACCCAAACAGTGTGCCTTCAGGAAGGTAAAGTAGTATTATCCCCAAGATGCAGATAGGAAAACTGTGATCCAGAAAAGCTAAATGACAAACACAAGGTTCACAGCTGTCCTAATAGGTCATACGAACAGGACTAAAAGCCAAATAGTCAGTTTCCTCACATTGATCTCGTTCCACACCACCACAGTTGCTATGAAAGGGCATTGTTTTGGGTGTCAGGGCAAAGCTTTAAAAGAAATTACCAAATATAAAATCAAATCTTTACATAAGCAAATCATAGGTATAATCCCCTAATATTTACATTATTATTTATGATCAAGAAGTGGTAGTAAGAACTTTGATAGTAAACTCTTTTATAACTAGAAAGCTACAGATAAGTGACGCTTTTCCTATTGCTGATCTATTTCATGAATCCAGAAATCAGAAACTACCACTGAGATACTCACAAAAGATTGCCAACCCAATGTACATAGTCCCTGGTGAGAAGTTCTCTGTTCTGTTAACTTACCAGGTAATACTGACACATTTATATGTATGTTTATAGCTCTGCCCATTTTTAATAAGAATCTGTGGAAGCTAAAGAACTGTTCTATTTATCTGCAAAATTTTAGTACGACTGCTATAAAAACCACTCAAAAGTGGCTTTTTTCAAGTTAAATTTCATTTTCCATATCTGTATAAGAAGCTCCTTTCAATTGAGATAGTTCATTTGAATTACCTAAGCCAAAATGATATTTTCCTCACTAACATAAAATCTTCTAGAAATGTGCTTACAGAGAAAAATATCATTTCCAACATATACTAAAATTCACATTTAAGAATTCCAACATTCACTTTAGAGATGATTCTGCTCTTATAAATGATCAGTCTTAACTCATTTAATCCCCCTCGAAAATCTACACAAGCCACCCGGAAAATTAGTCCCTGGGATTTTAAAGTATATTAAAACACACCACTCAGATAAAGCATGGACTGTTCTGGATCTAAAGCATCTGAGCACCTAAACTATCTCCTTCTAGCTCTATGTTTAGCAGCATTTTGTAGGAAGAGCTATTTTTTTTTCCCCAGCATATTATGGGGATACAAATGTTAAGGCTACATATACTGCCCTTGTCTCCCCTCCCCCCTCGAGTCAGACTTCAAGTGTGACCATCCCCCAGACAGTGCGCCTCACACTCATTATGTATGTATATCCCATCCCCTCCTCCCCCCTCCCACCTGCCCAACACCCAATACATGTTGTTCCTATATGTCCACTTAGGTATTGATCAGTGAAAATTCTTCACTAGAGAGAAAAGTGGTAGGTAGTTCGGTTTTCCCAACAAGCAGGCTAGTGTCCTTGCCCACTGCTGGTACCAACCTAAAGACAAAGGCATCATTACGCCACCAGTAAGACATAGTGTCATTGACCAGGGCATGATATCCTGGCAGGGAGCAGGCTCTTCCTTCCAACTGTTTCATGGCTGAGTCCTATGAGTCCTTATAACCTGAGAATGTGTCATGCCTCAACTCAGCCTCCAGGTGGCTTCCTAGACTACCTGCCCAGTTAACAACCCAGCCAGACTGAGACCCTGGGATCCTCTGTAATTGAGGCAATGAGGGCCCATACCAGAAGAAGGCTGAAGACTTATCAAATGAACTGCCTTATCTTAATCCACCTGGAGTGTCAAACTAGGAATACAAAAAAGAAAGAACAAATCCCATAGAACACAAACTAGATAAGAATCTGACATTTTTCTTTGCAATGACTTGACATCCTTGCTTTTTCTAAGGACAAAATCACTGGAACCAGCCCAGTGGCCCTTCTTGCTGCAACATGTCCCAGGCAGCTATTCAGACAATGACTGAGCATGTCCTAATTGTAACACATTTACAGGGGGTTTAGCTTCTTTTAATTCCTTCCATTGCCTGCAGGACTAACAATCCAAAGTCATTGCTATAGTTTGGACATTTGTCCCCTCCAAACCTCATGTTGAAATTTGACCCCCAATGTTGGAGTTGGGGCCTAAATGGGAGGTGTTTGGATCATGGGGGCAGATCCTACATGAACAGATTATTGCCCTCTGTCAGAGGTAAATGGGTTTTTACTCTATTAGTTCCAGAGGGAGCTGGATGTTAAAAAGAGCCTGGCACCTCCCCTCTCTCTCTCTCTTGCTTCCTCTCTTGCCACGTGATCTCTGCACATGCCAACTCCCCTTCAACTTCTGCCATGAGTGGAAGCAACCTGACGCTCTCACCAGATGCCCAATCTTGAACCTTCCAGCCATCAGATTTGTGAGCCAAACAAACCTTTTTTCTTTGTAAACTACCCAAGTCTCGGGTATTCCTTTCTAGCAACACAAAATGGACTAAAGCAGCAGTGTAATCCAAAAACACCACCACTCCTCTTAACCACAAGCTGGTATCTTAGTATCTCACCAAACAGTTACCTCCAAAACTCATTTTTAGCAAAGAAATGACTCATTTGAAAATTTGCCGGAGGGAGAGAGGGAGGGAGCAAGGGGGGGAGGGAGGGAGGGAGGGAGGAGCAAACTTAGGAAAAAACTGGTATCCCTGTTATGAGAAGTTAATTAGCTATGAAACAGCCAAAGGTCAGCAGCACATAAAAGCAAAGTCCCCATAATTAGAATAATAAACGAACAGGATTCAGCAATTGAATACCACATGTAAGATTCACCAGTGCAGTGGCCATGCATACCTGTTCCTGTAGCCATACCACCCGAGCCAGTGGCTTGCATTCACATGGAGTAAGAGTAAAACTTTTGTCTTTTTCACACCCATTCACTGACATGCAGAGCTGCCAAACCTCCAAAGGATGAGAATAGCAGGCAAGGGTATCAGTCAAGCATGCTCCCTCTGTTCTGGACATCAGTCATGCTAGTTCCCACCCATTTAATTACTCTGCAGTTAACCACCCACATTTAATTCAGTTTTAAAGACATGACAACAAGGTCTGAGATTTGAGGGATGTACCTGACTCTCTCTCCCCTCCAGTGGTGGTGGAATCTGATCAGCAAAACCAATCTTCCCTGGATCACCCATAAAGGCACTAACCTCATCCACGTTCTCAAAAGCGTTGATGACATCATATGGCAAACAGGACAGAAGATCAATCACAAACCACGTCTTCAGGTAGTTCATGCGGATAAGTTTGGGGTCGGAAATCACCTCCCCCGCTGGTCCAACAAAGGTGGTATGAAAATTGAGCACAATATCCACCAAAAAGATGACATCCACGATGCTATCCACAACCAGCCAGGCCACATTGTTCTGCCTGGTTTTAAAGGAGACATTGTAAGGGACCAAGATGGCTGTATAGAAGGTCAAGATCAAGATGATCCAATCCCACGTGGTCTTAAAAACACAATAATGCAAGATGATGTGAGGGGGAGTCTTTGGCGCCTCTTGCTTGTATTGGGGAAGGATGTCTGAGCCCAATTGCAGGACCTGTACAGAAAAATATGGCCAAGAGAGAACTAAGTTAGGATTTAATTGCAAACATCTAACCAGTCAGCATCTGTCACTGACAAATGCTCATAATTCTCTGGATAGTTCACTGGGTATAATAACAGGTATGAGAGGAGTATGGAAAAATGGAAGTAAATATTGTAATAGAAATAATCATAATGAAACAATAACAAACTATTGTTTCACTTACTATGAGCCAAGCATTCTGGTAAATCACATACATTTATTACCTTACTTAATTCTAAATACAAGTTTGCTTTTTTTTTTAAAAGAGACAGAGTTATGCTCTGTCCCCGAGCCTGGAGTACAGTGACACAATCATAATTTGCTACAGCCTCGAACTCCTGGACTCAAGTGATTCTCTTGCCCCATCCTCCAGAATAGCTGGGACCACAGCCACATGCCACTATGCACAACTACAATTTTGACTTACTAGACAATTATTATTCTGTATGACAAGTGAGAAACTGAGGCTCAAAAAATTAATAAACTTTATTCAATGACTATTTATTGCTCAGATTTCACCCAACAATTGCATAATAAACATTCTTCTCATCAGCACATGGAACACTGTTCTATGATTGACCATATGTTAATCCACAAAACAAGTCTTAAATTTTTAAAAAATCAAATTCATATCAGAGTCTTTCCTGACCACAACAGAATAAAAATAGAAATCAATAACAAGTGGAATTTTATAAACTTTAAAAATAAATGGAAATTAAATAACATTCTCCTCAATGACCAATGAATCAATACAGAAATTAAGAAGGAAATTTAAAAATTTCTTTAAAACCCTGAAAAATGGAAACACAACAACCAAAACCCATGGGATATAGAAAAATCAATACTAATAGGAAAGTACATAGCAATAAACACCTACATCAACAAAGTAGAAAGATGTCAAATAAACAATCTAATGACACACTTCAAGAAACTAGAAAAGAACAAATCAGACCCAAAATTAGTAGAAGGAAAGAACTAATAAAGATTAGAGCCAAAATAAATTATATTGAGAATAAAAAATACAAAAAAAAAGTGATGAAAAGAAAAGTTTGTTTTTGGAAAAGATAAACAAAATTGAAAAATTTTTAGCTAGACTAAAAAAAATAGAGAAATCTCAAATAAATAAAATCAGAGATTAAGAAGGAGATATTACAATTGATACCACAGAAATACAAAGAACCATTAGAGACTATTATGATCAACTGTACACTAACAAATTGAAAAACCTAGAAGAAATGGATAAACTCCTGGACACATACAACGTACCAAGATTGAACCAGGAAGAAATAGAAAACCTGAACAGACCAATAACAAGTAATGAAATTGATTGAATCAATAATATAAAAAAAAAAAACTCCCCCAAAAGAAAAGCCCAGAAGCAGATGGCTTCACTAATGAATTCTACCAAACTTTTAAAGAAATACTAGTACCAATTCTTCTCAAATTATTCCGAAAATTGAAGGGGAGGGCATTCTTACAAACTCAGTCCACAAGACCAGCATAACCATGATACCACAAGCAGATAAGGACACAACAACAAAAAAGAGAGAACTACAAGCTACCATCCCTGATGAATATAGATGCAAAAACCCTCAACAATATGCTAGCAAACTGGATCCAACAGCAGGGATTTATCCAGGGATGGCTCAACATACATAAAGCAATAAATGTGACACATCACATCAACAATATGATGGGAAAAAACAGATGACCATCTCAGCACAGAAAAAGCATTTGTTAAAATTCAATATCCCTTGATGATAAAATCTCAACAAATTAGGTATAGAAGAAATGTACCTCCAAATAATAAAAGCCATATATGACAAAACCACAGCTAACATCATACTGAATGGGGAAAAGTTGAAATCCTATCCTCTAATATCTGGAGAAAGACAAGGAAGCCTATTTTCACCACTTTTATTCAACATAGTACTGGAAGTCCCAGCCAGTGCAATCAGGCAACAGAAACAAATAAAGGGCATCCAAATTGGGAAAGAGGAGGTCAAATTGTCAATTGTCCTTGTTTGCAGATATGATCTTGTACGTAGAAAAACATAAAGACTCTACCAAAAATAACTGTTAGAACTGATAAACAAATTCAGTAAATTTTCAGGATAGAAAATCAACAAACAAAAATCAGTAGTATTTCTATACACCAATAGCAAACACTCTGAAAAAGAAATCAAGAGAGAAATTCCCTTTACAATAGCTACAAAAAAATACATAGGAATAAATTTAACTGAAGAGGTGAAAAATCTCTGCAAGGAAAACTATTAATATAAAACATTGATGAAAAAATTAAAAAGGACATTAAAAAGGGAAAATATATTCCATGTTCAAGGATTGAAAGAATTAATATTGTTAAAATGTTTATACTTCTTAAAGCAATCTAGAGATTCAACACAATCTCTATCATAATAACAATGACATTCTTCAAAGAAATAAAAAAAATCATAGAATTTATATGGAATCATAAAGATCCTGAATAGCCATAGCAGTTCTGAGCAAAAAAAGCAGGAGGCATCATACTACCTGATTTCAAAATATTCTACACAGCTGTAGTAAGCAAAACATCATGGTAATGGCATAAAACAGACACACAGAATTCATGGGCCAAAGAGACAGTGTCAAGGGAAATTTTAAAATATATTGAACTCAATGAAAACACAACAGATCAAAATGTGTGGGACACTGCTAAAGCAGTACTGAAAGGGAAATGTGTACCTCTAAATGTTTACCTAAGAGAAAAAGTCTTAATTCAATAATCTAAGCTTCCTCTCAAGAATCTACCAAAAAAGACCAAAATAAAACTAAATCAACAGAAGGAAGGAAATAATAAAGAGCAGAAATCAATGAAATTGAAAACAGAAAGACAACAGAGAAAATCAGCGATCTTTGAAAAGATCAATAAAATCAAATAATATCAACAAATCTATAGCCAGACTGAAAAAAAAAGCAAAAGAAGGAGAGAGAAGACACAAATTACCAATATCAAGAATTGAACAGGGCATAACACTATAAACTCTGGAGATATCAAGAAAGATAATAAGGGAATGCTACAAACAACTCTAAACTACATAGATGCAATGGACCTCAAAAACCGCACTATCACAACTCATAGCCCAATAACATCTAAGGTAATTAAATTCAGAATCTTAAAAATCCCAAAAAAGAAATCATCAGGCCCAAATTATTTTAATGGATAATGGTACCAAAATTTAAAGAAGAATTAATAGCAATTCTACAATCTATTCCAGAAAATAGAAGCAGAGGGGATATTTCTCAATTCATTCTGTGAAACTAGTATTACCCTGATTCCAAAACCAGACAAAGACAGTACAAAAAAAAAGAAGTACAGATCAATATCCCTCATAAATACAGAAGCAAAAATCCCTAACAAATGGTAGCAAATAGAATTCAGCAATACATAAAATAAGAAATACCAAGTGGGATCTATGCCAGGCGTACAAAGCTAGTTGAATATTCAAAAAAAATCAATGTAATCTACCATATTAAGAGGCTAGAGAAGAAATATCACATGATCTGATCAATTAATATAGAAAAAAACATTTGACAAAATTCAACACCCATTTATGATAAAAACTCCCAGAAGAAAATAGGAATAGAAGGAGACTTCCTAAACTTGATAAAGAGCATCTACAAGAATACGTGTTTCCCCATAACCTCAACATTACAGGAATATTATTTTTCATTCTTTGTTAATAAAGTAGTTGAAAAATAGCATCTCTTTGTTTTAACTTTCATTCTTTATTAGTAAACTGAAAAAAATGATATTACGTATTGTGTTTCTTCTCTTGTGACTTGCTTTTTCATATGTTTAGTCCCTTCCCATATTACAAAGTTTAAATCTTTCTATTTTGAAAATAATAATTTAAAAAAAGCAATTTGTGGAGGAAAAACAGCCTTCTTAACTAATGGTGCTAGAGCAAGTAAACATCCATAGGCCAAAAATGAATCTTGACCTAAGTCTCACATCTTACATGAAATTTAATTCAAAATGGATTTTGGACTTGAAAGTAAAAGATAAAACTAAAAATCTTTTAGAAAAAATGAGAAGATCCTCATGATCTTGGGCTAAGCAAAATGTTCTTAGATTTGACACAAAAAGCACAATCCATAAAAGGGAAAACTGACAAATTGGACTCCATCAAATCTAAAACTTTTACTCTGCAAAAGACTCTGTTAAGAAGATGAGAAACAAAGCTATGACCAGAAGGAAATATTTATAAACCACATATGCAACAAACAAACATAGTATCTAGAATACATAATCTTAAAACTCAACAATTAAAAAAACAAACCAATGAGAAACAGAGTAAAAGGCATGAACACATTTTACCCAAAAGGATATGCAGATGGCAAATAAGCACATGAAAAAGTGTTCAATGTGATTAGCCATTAAGGAAACAAATGAAAACTACAATGAGATATTACTATACACCTATCAGAATGGCGAAAATAAAAAAGTAGTGACACCACCAAATGCTGGTGAGAATGCAGATAAACTAGATCATGTATTTGCTAGTAGAGTCTGGCAGTTTATTAACAACTAAATACGTAACTACCATATGACCCTTACACTCCTGGTCATTTATCCCAGAAGAATGAAAACGTATGTTCATATAAAAACCTGTACTTAAATTTTTATGGCAGCTTTTTTCATAATAGTCAGAAACTGGAAACAACCCAAATATCCTTGAACAGGTGGGTAAACTAGTACATCTGTATCATAGAACACTATACTCAGCAATAAATGATATAAACTACTAATACACGCAACAACCTGGATGAATCTCCAGAGATTGAAAAAGAACAGTCCTTAAAGACTACATACTCATGATTCCATTTATATAACGTTTTTTTTATTGTTCATACAAATATTTATTGAATCTTATAAATGTCAAATTTAGCAGATAAAAGCTAAAATTATAGAAAGAGAACGAATTAGTGAA